GCGTTGTGGTCGAAGACCATCGACCCTGATGACGGCTGCGACATGGCAGCGCTGGCTCGAGTGATACAGCCTTCCCTTTAAAGGAGGCGGTGTGTTCAGGACTGGCCTGAAAAACAACTTGCAAACATGCACTTGCAGCCGAAGCGCCTAACCGAGGAGTTTAGGGTTTAGGGTTTAGGGTTTAGGGTTTAGAGAGACACAGAAAAGGCCTCAATATATTACGGCCCCAGAACACCCCTCAAGAGTGATATTACCTGAAGCAAGACTATAAGTGACCATAACGGGACTGCCTCTCAACATAGCCTGAAACCATGACGCACAAGTCCTAAACAAAGTACAATCCCGCAAAATACCCCGCACAAGAGCAACGAACGATGCAACGATTTAAAAATCCATCCCGACAAAGACCCCCAACGCCGAAGAAGCCTGCAAGGAATACCGGAACAAAACACACAAAAACAAATCTCCCACTTCGCTGTCGAACCCCGGAGCTTTTGGGCCTTGAAGCTCGGGTGGCTCACCTCAGGCACGGCTTAAATCCAAGGGGCTCTGGGGCTTTCACTTCAGGGTCTTTTGCTGTGGGGGTTTTGGGTTTGGGGTTTGTTTAGGGTTTAGGGTTCAGGGTTTAGGGGGCCTTATGGCGTATTACGGTTCACCGGCTTCAAGGGTGCCGACAACCGACCATTGAAGTCGAAGCCCTGAAAAGGCTCCGAAAGAGCCAAGCACGAACCCGAAGACCCCCAGAACTGAAACCTTTTAGGGCTCCTTAAAGGGATCCTTGAGTCGAACGACCCCCCAGAAATGCAAACTGAAACCCCCAAAGACCCGGAGAGCGCCATCCCCCAAACCTTGCCCAAGCCGCTGGGGATGGGCAGCCTCGACTCCGGCAGCCCATCCTGCAGGGCTCGGTTTTGTGGTGCCTGCAAGGGTTCCTTTAGACGAAGGGTTCTGTAAGATTTTTAAGGATCCTATAAGGGCTCTGCAATGATCCTGGATAGGTTCGGCAGGGTGTTCTAGTGCATCGGGATGCCCAAAAAAACCCTCTGGCAGGAGAATCCTAGCCAGGGAGCTTCGGAATCCTTCCCAAACCCAAACTTCTCAATCCACGCTCCAACTTCCAAGCTGGGGCACCATCGGGGCCGAGAGTCCCGATTCCCCGTAAATACGTGAAGTTTCGGAGAAGGGTTTAGGGATGATTTAGAGTTCAGAGGTTAGGGTGTAGAGCGTAGGGTTTAGGGCCCCTGTCCTGGTACCAGACGCAGCCGTGGCAGGTTGTATCCGGCGGACGGTCTGCGAAGGTCGCGCACAGCGCACGATCTGCAGCGGAGATCTGCGCGTGGTACAGCTCCTCTACAGTCTGGGGTTGCGGTCCACGGGACTTAGGAGGCATGTGTTCTGCATGTCAGCATTTCAACCCCTAACCCTCACACATCCATAAATTCCCAAAGACCCCCACAGCGCATACCGATTCAAAGGCCCCTACAAACCCCGGACGAACACTCTCCTTAACCCTAAACCCTAAACCCTAACCCCTAACCCACTGTAAACCCTAAACCCTGAACCCTAAACCCTAAACCCTAACCGCCTAACCCACTGTCCTTGTGGTTGTGCTGGAAGGCCGCCCGCGGATTCAGCGCGGGCCACTGGGCCTTGAACTTCGCCAGCGCCGCCGCGGCGCTGGGAACGTCGGAGAACCTGGGCTTCTGTCGCCATAACCATCGTATTAACCATAATGGATCATAAGAACCATCGTATTAACCATAATAGATCATAAAAACAGTAGGAATATAATACTGTAACAATGATAATGCTGATAATAAGGATAGCAATCCTATCAAAAATCGCCTGTTGGGGCCGGAGCTTGGTTTGGGGGTGGGCCCAAGTCGGAAGAGCCAGTCATCCAGAGCCGTTTACTGTTGGGTCGTAGGGCTGAAGAAGATGCCGGGGCTTCTCAGGGCATGGACCCTGGTTCGACTCTGCCTGGCGAACTCCCAGGTAATGGAGGGTTTCCGGCTCGAACGTGCAAGGGGTCCAAGCTACCTCAACACTCCACATCGCAAACTGCAAACCTTCACTATCCTGAAAAAGCTCACCGGGCTGCTTCTGTGCGCTCTCCTCCCATGGGTACACGGTCCAACCTGCCGTCACAGTAACAGGAACTGGCCCTGACCACTGCCCTCCTCAAGTGATCCCAAAGAGAATATTCAGCTCTTACACATCGCTCACACACCCTACATCACTGGAAGCGGCGTAAAGCTGCAACATACAAGCCCAACCAAGCCCTCGTTGCTGCATCTACTGTGAGCGAGTGTCGCTAGGCACTCAATTTAAGGAAGATGCTGTGCTCGGCAGAGATAAAACGGAAGCATCAAAACACATGCTCAGAAGCTAGCATCGAGGCCTCAATCCTCGGACGGAGGATTTGCCATTCGGGCCCGGGCCTTACACCCCGAACAAACTCCAGAGCCTAGGCTTTCACTCCAAATTCATGTGACATCGTCTTTATCATGAAGCCCAAAGCGCTTCTGTTCTGTGGCCCTCAACTCAGAAGACACAATTGCCCAATGCTTGAAGATGGATTCACAAGCCCGCTCCGACTGCCGCAGGCGACCTCCACAGACAGACACCTAGGACGAGCACCCGGAGCCGAAGCCCTTAAATCAATTTCAGCCCTGACCAATAGCCCCAAAACCCTTAGCCCTAAGCCCTTATTAAAAACCCACCCAAAACCCTTAAGCCTAAACCCTTATTAAAAGCACCCCCAAAACCCGAAGCCCCTTACTTCATCCACCACATCCTCATGAAAATTTTGAGGCGCAAGGCCTCGGGCTGCCAGAGCCACAGCCATGGCAAAGTCGCTGCTCATGGTCTTATCCACGCCCTCCCAGAATGGTTTAGGGTTTAGGGTTTAGAGTATAGGGTTTAGGGTTTAGGGCTTAGGGTTTAGAGTTTGAGGCTTTTTTAAAGAGTTTGAGGTGGTCTAGGCTCACGGTTTCGGGTTTAGCCTAGCCGCACTGACAATACCACGAATCATGAGTAAGGAACATATACACGAAAGGGACGACGAACAATGGACGGTTCAAAAAAAAAAGCAACCCTACAGCAGAGTCTTTTCCTCGCAATTGCACAAGAGTAGTGATAGAATGGCGGATCTCGTGATTTCAGCGCTCAGCGTAGGCTGTCTGCGCGTCTCTACAAGATTTGTGCGCTTCTCTACAAGACTGTTGAGCCTGTTGCGACGAGAACTGACAACCGGAAGATGCCAACGCCTCGTGTTCCCGCAGGCGGCGCCAGTCGATGCCCCTGGGCTACATAGAGAGCTTGGATCGCAAAAGAGGTGAAGAGAAGGACCCGCAAAAATCCTCGAAGGCCTGCGACGAGAAGGATTCGGAAAGAGGAACCTGAGGAACCCTGGGCTGCCACTCCAATCGGACCTTTCAGGGAGTTGGGCCTTCCGGATCCCGAACTTTTGCTTCCAGGTGCAGTTAAGAGACTCCCAAGCACAGACGCCAAATAGCGCACTTCCCCGAAGCAATAAAGCTCCAACAGCTGCTTTACCCCCATCCATACCCGAGCCTGCCATACTGCAAGCACTTTAGACTCACCCTAAACCCCCAACCGTACCAAAGCTAGAAATACTGCAAGCACAAGCTCACCGTCACCTTCGGAGGCCCCAAACCACCATGTATGAGGTTCTCTGCTGACAAGCATCAGGACGTGCTCCGGCCGGAATGCATCCAACACTGCCTCCGTGCGATAATAAGAGCCTCTGCACGGAAGGAAGAGCCGAAAAGACTGACGCCATCTACTTCCACTGCTAGTACCTCTACTTCCAACTTACATCTGCTCCTGCTCGTACAACTGACTACGACGAAGACTCTACGACTACGACTACTGGCTTCAGGCCACAATGGCTCCTCACCTCGGCATCTACAGGCAACTGCACCTCCGCAGAGACCAAAGTGTTCCCAGGTCACGTTGAAGTGCGGGTTCCTTCAAGGGGGGTATCTGTGGCGGTACAGCAGGGGTTTGGGCTTGAGCCGAGGTTTTAGCAAGACCTCCGAGCTCCGGCATAGAATACTAACCCTAAATAAACCCTCAACCTTACAATTCAAAGTCCCTACGAAGCCTGGTCTTTTCGTCTCTCTCAAGAAATTAAGCATGGCATAGTTCAGGCGCTGAGATGCTAAAGCTCCTCCGTCTCCAGCCTTGAAGAAGCTGAAACCCTGCACGCCCTAAGCCCGAAATCCCAAACGGCGCTTAAACTTTAGCATGCAAGATCTCAACCCAAACCCAACCTCGGTGCCACATACACACCCTGAGAACACCAAACTGAATGCATCTGAATACCTAAGATGCTCATCGGGAATTATAAAGGGTTTGTAATGGCATTTTAAGCTCTTCTTTAAAAGGGTGCTATAAGGCGTATTATGACGGCACATCCAATTTCAGAACAGCCCAGGTGCCTCTGGCGACCGAGGCGTTCCAAGTAGGCCTTGGTCTCCTTGCTCATAGTCGGGTTGAAGTTGTCGTAGACCCCCCCGGCCTAGGGACGCGGTGTGGGGCTTAGGGTTTAGGGTTTGGGGGTTTTGGGTTTCGGTTTTAGGATTTAGTGTTCAGGGTTTAGGGGTTTAGGGGCTCAAGGGTTCAAGGTTCAGCGGGCTGAGGGCCTCCCGCAGCATCGGAAGTGGGAACCTTGAGCTTGGGAAGGGCCTTCCACAAGGTTCTGAAGTTCCGAGGCTGGAGACTTTGGCAAACAATGGAAGAAACCCTCCAGGCGCGTCGCCCAAGGGCGGACAGACGATGAGGCGCATCTGCTGCAAGTGATATTGCAAAACCCATTTCTGGCAAAGCCGACGGCCCCAACTAAACCGAAGTCTCTCTGGGTTTAGGGCTTGTAGAGTTTAGGGTTTAGGGTTTAGGGTTTAGGGGATGACCGCCTTCTAGGCCAGCCCGTGCTCTCCCTTCATAACCAGGGAAAGGTTTAGGGTTTAGGATCGTGTAGCTTCCACCGGCCCGGGGCCTCTGTCAGCAGGACATGTCGAGGACCGGGCATCGTGCGGGAAGTCGCCTTTGTGGCGCCGAAGGATTTTCACGTCTGGCTCCAGGTAGATGATGTACCTGGCACCCGTAACCCCAAAGCCCAGGCCCCAAAGAACCCTAAACCGTCGTCTCTTTCCGTTCATAGTTCTACAGGCCAAGGAGGCATAGAGGCTCCCTGAGCCTGGGATATTCTTTTCAGGGCTTCGTCTCGGTGTGTGCTTCTGGTAGCTTCTGGTTTGCAGCTAGGGGGGCTCGGCTTGACTCAAACTCACTCCCAAACCAACCCGAACAAGCTTCAAACCCTGAAAGCTCTGGAGTCTCTAGGCTTTCAGGGTTCAGGGGTCCGAGGCGGGTAGAAGTAAGTATAAACATTGAAGCATGAGGTCGCGCG